TATTATAACCATATTATTTTCAGGGTAAGATCAGTAAAAGAGACCAGATTCTGACCTTGTTTTTCTTAAGCAAATAAGACCACAACAAGAAAATGTATATTTCCGAGCTACAAGAAAACACCATAAAAATAAGTCAATCTCCCTAGAAGAGACTTGAAATCTCAAATACAATAGAAAAACAACAATTGCATTCTAGAGAGGCAATCCCCTCGGATGAATCTGAATGTTCTCTTGGACACCATCCTTGATACCAATGATGATAATTCAGCCACTCCTTCCTTTAGAAAAAGGAAATCCAGAGTTCAAGTCCTTAGATCTAGTTGGGAAGGGCAAACTCCCATTTTGTACCCAAGAAATCAAAAGAGGAAAAAAAAAAAAAAGGGCCATGATAGCTGTTCATAATGAGTTACACATCAGGAGATAACTCATTCATATATATCTTTTTTCCCAGCTCTCCTAGGGACATTAGCATGACTTGAACCTAGAACCTATATTTCCAATCAGAAGGAGATCAACAAAACATCATTAAGTCATCAACGATACAATAGATTTGGATGCACATAGGAACAGCATAAGGAAAGATTATTCATGTCAAACATAAAATCCAACAAAGATATAGACTATATCCCAGGTTTACTGTGAAAAAACGGGAGTACAATTGTAATATTCAAGAAGCTTTCTTTGCAAAGCATGGTATCAATCCTTTATACAGCCAAGTTTTCAAGTAAATCCAACAAAAGAAACAAAGTTTTCAACATAGAACATGTTTCTTCCTAGAACAGTGGGTTTGAAGTGCTGTGATACTTACAAATATCATAGTGTCAATCAATGCCACATTTCATTTCCCAGTGCTATAGGCATGTTTCTCCATTTCTACCTGCCAAATGAATTAAACCAAGAATAGATTTTGCCTGGTCTTTTCTTCCTACAACAATGGCTACAGCTATTTTCATCTTCCCCTGCTTACTATTTCCTTGTTGAAAACTAGTAGTAATTTTGTTATCTTAAATGAAATCTTCAACTCCTCAAGTGTAGAAATACATTTCTCCTTTCCTTTGCATTGTGCTCGTATTCCTTCTCAAAAGATCTAGCTATTTTCCCCTTTTTTCTACCATTTCCATGTCTTTTCCAGTAATTCTTCCATAATTTCATGGACTGATCTATAATATTCAGTATTGCAGCCTTCCTCTGTTCTAACTTTGCACACTGATTCATTAGCTTTGTTTTTATATTGCTTATCCTGTGCTTCAGAAGTAAATTTCAACCTAGAGAACACACTATTTCTCTTTTCTGGAGAATCTGAATACAGGCTCTTCATAGGTCTATGGTGATTATTACCATCTAAACTGTTATCCAAAACTGAGGCAGCAAGAGGCTGAGCAACATTTTTCCTTATAAAATCATCACCATTGAAGTTTGGAAATGGGAGTACATTTCTATAGGAGAATAAATCTTTCTCATCTTCAAAAACAGCAGAAGGCTACATTTGACTATTCAGCAAACAGTGTGCCCCCAAGAGAGTTTTTGACTCTGTAGGATCAGGATCAAAAGGGGACAGCAGAGGAATGAATTCTTCTTTACTATGGTCATCAGAGAAGGGTGATAGGAGTACGATATCCTCAACACCACCATCCAAACTTCTACAAGAAATGTCTTGCTCTTTAAGTCCTTCTCCAGAATTAACATGTTTTTTGGTGTTGTTGAAATGAGGACCCAAACCATGCTCTGATGTAGAGCTGTAACTAGACATGTAAGCCACCAAAGACTGTAAACAAGAAGCCTCAAGATATGTGTGTTGACAGGACAAGTTCTCAGATACCTTGCATGTCAAGTAGGAATTTTGGGAAGCTGAGAACTGAGAGTCATCCTCTGCCAGAAGATATTTATCAGAATATGCATCAACTTCAATATCCATCTTCAGTTTCTTCCCGGCTTTCGCGGTATAACCAAACTCATCTTTCTCCACTTCTGTTTTCTTAGATGAAGACATGAAATCTGTCTCTCCAACTTCATTTTTTATCAGCTTGGAGGTTCTAGATGTACCTTTCTTGAGTTAAACAAGCTTAAAAGCTTGTAAACCTGAAATTAGACCAACTCAATGACATACTCTTTATCATAATAAAAATATAATAAAATCTTCTGAGAAGAAAACAACAAAAGGATTTAACCTAAAAGGAGCAAAAGACCAAACCTGAGCATAAGACAACCCGAAGTTGAACTAGTTCTTAGCAAAATAATTCTCTCCAATAGCATGGAAAAATTCATCTTCAGAAAGAGGATGGCAGTTCCAGATTGTGGTAACCTTAACCTGTGCCAGTGAAAAGCAATCTTCATTAGGATAAGAATGGCTCTCTCAACTATCAACCCAACTGCTCGCTGTGGGAGAATAAAAATTTAAAGAAGATATCCAAGTGAAAAGAGTAAAATGATAAAGCACAAAGCTGAAAAGCTTCAGATGAATTTACAATGAATACCTGAGCAGGAAAGAGCCTTCCTGATGAACCATATGCTTTGGAGACAATATTTAGCTCACTATTAGAAGTTGCTTTAAAAACTCCATAAAGTTCTCTTCTCATACTCAAAAAGGAACAAGATCATCCCGACCTTAACTCTTTTAACAAAGTTTGCATGAGTAAATGGAAGGCCGAACAGACTCCTCTCAAAGCATTCTTTCCTTGTAGAGCCATTTGACATGAAAATGGCACCAAACTCAGGAAACTGCCCGGAAACCTTTAATGTGGCCCATTTAGCCATTCACCTATTCATCATGACCCTCAACAAGTTATCATCCCTTCAGCTCACACTGAACCTAATGTGTAGGCTGTATTTTCTTTTGCAAATGAAAATGAGGTTTATATCCTATCACAAAAACATTTTGTCTACACTTACTTCTTCATATTAGACATGCATAACCTCAGACTTTCCCGAATTGGCTATGGGTTCAGAATTAATTAACCATGACTTAATTCAGTTACTCATGTCAGGTATCTACCTACTCTTAAGCCATATCACATTCACAAATGGCACAACATAAAAACTCAACTCTATAAAATATATCTGACCTCTCAAGACTGTTCACTGATTGATAATTAACCACTCAGCAGACTACAAATGTATTTCCCCTATGTATCATTAATTACAATAGAATTATCCTAAGGACCCTAACCAAATATTATTTTGAACCTTTATTACAAATTTTTGTGCTTAAAATTCAGAGGTCACATATCACGAGCACAACTCATATTATCAGATAAAATCATAAACTAGGAAATATGCTAACAAAGAAAGCAGGGAAATAACTATACAAATTGGTCAATAACACTTTCATCTACAAATTACATTCCACTAACAACTACTTATAAATAAATCCTCAGGAAAACTATAATGAGATGATTAGGATTTTACCAAAACCTTAAAACTTTGTGAAGGCAGTATACTCAAGTTTTCAAACAGCAAGAAAAGGCATGCTGAAACTGGAGAAGAATCCAGACAACAAATTATTTGACAGATGCTAATCAACAAAAATAACTCAGCTTCTAACCCATAATTTTTTAACTTCAAATACTGAAATCAAACACTTAAACATGACAAGAAAGCTACCTGTCATGATTTCATGGTTACCAGCTAAAATAAGCAGCCTTGCAGAGCATAAATCCAAGCACTAAGAAACCTGAAAGTCGAAACCCCAAATGCAATATGAACCACAAAAAAACAAAAAAGCCTAAATACTTGAGCAAAAATTGGACAAGCCCCAAATCAGATGCGCATCCACGAAAATTAACACATCCTCTTGGAAGAGAAGAGGAAAGAAACGGGCAAAAACTATTGTTCATAACAGAAGAAACTTCAGTAGATTATTATTACCTACAAGAACTTAGCTGAGTTGGTATCTATTAACTTAAAAAACTTGATCTTGGTAAAGTCAAACTTCAAACCCTATGTCAAGCAACTATCAACATACCAAAAAAACGTCAAGCAATTATGAGTACCCACACTCCAAACTCCAACATTTGGTGGACGACCCATGAAGAATTTCTCGAACAATTAAGAAAGAGAGACTAAAGCATACCTTGAACTACAAGTTACACAGCTCAAATAAAAAACAGACCAAGCAAACCCAGCTCAACCAAGCAAAACCCATTTCTTTCAAACAGATTAGCTCAAGATTTGACTCTCTCTCAAAATCCCACTACCCATTTAGTACACTAATTAAGCAAAACCCAGAACACATTTTCCATGTAACATACGCTCGTAAATGCCGAAGGGATTTGTAAATTTACCTCTTCCGTTACATAGATTGAAAGCAGCAACGCCTAAATAACAGTAAAATGCAATGCAATGTGATGCCCGTCAGCAGTGTATGGAGTTCGGAGGGAGAAAATCTGTTTTGCTATGGAGGATTTTGTCTGAATTCTGTATCTTTTGCATTGAAGGAAAGAAACGAATTTTGTTGGTTAGGTTGTAAGTAACCGATCCGACTGTATCAAACCAAACCAATTTAGAATTTACAATCTAATTAAACCGATTGAAACTTCGCTTGAGATTTAGATTGAATGGTAAAAATGAGTAGACCGTATTAATTATTTTGATTGTTGGTTTTGATTGATAACCAACTGAATCAAACCAATTAAATTTAAATAATACGATAATTTATCATTTATATTATTAGTTGGTTATTACATAAACTAAAATTCTACTCTCTTCCTATTAAAATAGTTGTTAGTAATATTTTTTATTTAAAATTTATTTAAAATTAATTATTATTTTTTCATTTGAAGTTAGATAAATATTTTTTTTATATTTTAATCTTATCATTACTTATTTATTTTAATTAATCATTTTATTTTAAAAAATTTTTATTTTTATCTTTTATTTTTTTAAGAATAATATAAATAAATAAATAGATTGACTCCAATTTCTTAATTTAAAAAAAATCAAAAAAAAATAATTATTTTTTGACAAAGAGGAAGTAAATAATGTAATGGGCATTCTAATTTAAGTAGTTAGACTTTACGGATTTATACTCACCATATCTACGTGAATTAGATACAATTTTTTGAACAAAAGATAATTATCTATTACAACTATTATATATTTTAATAGGTGTCAGGGAGGGCGAGTTGGGGTCGAGCACAATGTGTCCCAATGATGTTCTCATTTAAAAAATAGTCTTACCGTTCCACTCATCACATGAAGAACTAGATGCAATCTATTTCAATATTACTAGTCAAATAAATGAAATAAAATTTGTTTAGGATAAAAGAACCAATCAACTCAAGCCAAATTAAATCAACCTAAAAAATTATAGATTTGTTCGTTTCAAATATGTTACATAAAGTTCCACTTTTCGCAATTTAGTTTCCGCTAAATTACAAAAAAAATGAACCATTTAGTAAGCAAATGACAATAGAAGTGGACAGAAGTGACCACAACTGAAAAATTATCCCCGAATCCAACCAAAGCCATGACTGGTAGATTGAGTTTGATTATGATTAGTTTTCAAATTTTTTTTTACTAAAATTTAAATTAAACTAATCTCAAATGATTTGATTTTTGGTTGTTAGATTTGAAAACTGCATTAAACTTGGCAGGTAAACGAGTGAGCCTAAAATTTAGAAAGAAACACCAATTAGATTTCTTTTTTATTTTTTTGAAAGACTCACCAATTAGATTTCTGTAATTCCAAAGCCAACATAAAATGCAAAAAATAAAAAAAATAAAAAATAAATAAAAGGTTGATAAATTAGATCCAGAGTACTTACTTAGTAGACCCATTTTCACTGACAAAAAGATTGTGAAATTTCTATTGAAGTATATACCAACTATTACTGCTGGGTAAAGATCCACACGTTGAATTCTTGGCTTGAACATTGGCCATCCAAAGAGGCTTTCCTGTGTTTTATCACTTTGTGTTATCAAGGATAGAAGCTACCAAATCTTGCTTAATTAAGGCAAAAAATAAGGAAAAAGAAACTGGTGTTAGTGATCTAGTTAACAAACCAAAATTTGATATAAAGTTTAAGAGTACCAAAAAGATTATCATAGTAACATATATTGGAAGGAATTACATGTAGCTTGTTTATGGCTCGAGACCCATTTCTTATTGCTATCGATTTTACATTTAGACTCTAAGAAGTAGACAACATAAAAACCTATTACCATCTCTTTGATGTTAATCTACGTCACAACTTTTAATAACTGAGAGGTAAAATTCTACTGTAAAATTGATAAGCTAACATAGAAAATTTCTATGAAGTTTAACATGATGGTAATTAAATATCTCCTCTCTTTATTGAGACTAGGAAGATTAATAACTTAAAGCTAGTTTTTAGAGATAAAAATATATCAAAAAAGTAAAAATATATGTCAGGACATTTAATCTTAATTATAATTTAAATAAAAAATTAAGGAAAAAAATACATTGAAGTCAAAAGTTAAATCATCATTATTAAGGGGAAAAAGAAGGAAAACAATTATCAATCCAAAAGGCTTCCACATCAACTTAGAACTAAATAAATTAAATGTCGAAAACACATGAAATCATAAAAATAAAAAGCAATATCGCCTTTTCGATTAACATTTTTCTATTAATACAACAATCAATTTCTTTTAAAAAATAAAAATAAAATAAAATTTGCACACCAAATGGCCTCCACTGCATAACAATGAATATGGGAGGAATCCTGGCAACAATGAATATGTAAAGCCTCTTTGGATGGCCAATGTTCTCAACAGGAAACCTCTTCTCAACGTGTTCAAGCAATTGCTGGTATAATTTAACAAAGGGGACCAAAAAGGGTTTGGAAAAATAAACTTTAGGGATAAAAAATGGACTTTAAAAAAAAATAATTTAGAGTAGGTCAATCTCCTAAAATTCTTTTCAAAGGACCTATTTAAAAATCTATTTTCTAATTAATATTTTTAAAAACTAACAATTGAATTAAAAGTTTTATTCATGTAGTTCATGCATATCATTATTCATATTAATCTAAAACTTGTAATCCTCTCAATCGAGGATTACATAATAAAGGCAATCCTCTCACCTATCCCATAGCACATTACACCCACATACCATATGAGTCAAAGTCAAGAACTCTTGGTTGCATGGTATTAGAGAAGAAAGCAAAGTCACCAACAATTACATAGAGCATTACATAGACATTAACTTTAATTAGTTTCCATTTTGTAATTAGCCATTAGCCTATTTACTTTCCTTTTTATTTTTCCGTTGCTAAGGATTAGACTAATTCTTAGCCTTATCATATTTGGCCACATTAGCCTTGTATATATATCATACAGCCTCTTGATTAATTCTATGGAGATATGACATATTTTCTCATATAGTTGCATATTTTCTCATGGTATCGAAGCAAAATTGATTCTCAAAGCTTTTGCTGACTAGAAATTGCCAACACCATAGCTACATATGAACTAGCCAAAACTTTTGGCAATCTTGACAACATGAGTTAGCCTCATTCACTACTAGAATATTAAGTATTTTGGTCAAAGTATTTCGGTTAAGCAAATTGTTTGACCAAAAATATACACATTTCGGATAAATTTATTGATCAAATAAAAGCTCTATTCAATTAAAATCTTCAAAGATGAATAATTTAGTCAAAATTTAATGTTGTAAAAAATTTACACCAAATTAGTTGTGTGCGAACTGGCACGAAAACTAAATCAATTAAAAAATTTGACCAAATAAAAAAGTAGGTTTATTCGTAAAAAGAAAAACTGACCAAATAAAATGGCAAAAAAATCTATACATTTCAAAATATTAAATATTAGTAATTTGGTCAATCATTTTGACCAAACTATAATTGTTGCACAATTATGCAATTGTTCGATCAAGCAACTTAACCGAACTAATGTGTCTAAGTCGATTTGGTTGAAGCATGTTATGGTTCAGCCTTTTCCATAATATTTTGGTCAGTTATCTTGACCAAAATAAGCCAATGTGAAACTTGCTAAGGTTGATTTGACCGAAGCAACTGGGTGTTCAGCCTTTAAGCCTTATTTCAATCAGTTATATTGACCAAAATAAGGGATTGCATTGCTCTGATTTTTACAGGCCAACTTTTTGGCAATTTTTCAGTTAGTGTGCTTGGCCAAAATACCCAATTGAATCAGATTTGATAGATTCTGTGGTGAGTCCCATGTTTCCCATATTATTTCGGTCAATTATTGTGACAAAAACAAGTAGACAATTTCATTTTCCCTAGAACCTCTTATCTTTCTTCCTTAGACACTTGTCCTCAGTTTCTGAGTTCTCTTGGCTGCAACGACACACCACCAACCGTTGCTACTTGATCCGGCTGGTATTGAGGGGTTTTTTGGGCTTTCGACCCCATTAAGGTATGGTTGGCTAGGATCTTCCCCCTTTTTTTTTCTTTTTTAATTTTGTGTCGCAATCCACTCTCAACCACAACAATTGGTACCACCAATTGTCTCCAGCCTCCTTATGTTATAATCTATTGTTTTACTTCACTAATTAGTGTGTACATTAGTTAAATTTTTTGTTTTTATTTTTTATTCATATAATTTATTTTTAATCCACAAATATTACTATGCATGAGTGTGCTTATTTTTCTTCATTTTATTAATTTGCTAGTCATAATATTTACATTTTCATTACTATATTTTTTTTTTACCTTTCTCAATTTATTATTTGATTTTGTTGTTAATTTTTTCTAGGTTCATAAATCACTTTCAAAGCATTAATTTGACTTTGATTTGTTTGAATTGTAGGTCTCCTTTTTTC